TTTTAAATTTTTTGTAGAGATAGGGTCTGCCTATGTTGCCCAGGCTGGTCTGGAACTCCTGGCCTCAGGTGATCCTCCTTCCCAAAGTGCTGGGATTATAGGTGTGAGTCACAGGTTGGCCTATAAATTGGTTTTATAAGTAAAATATCAAGGGTAGACATGGTTTCTTCCCTACAAAAAGTAAAATTGACTCTGTTTTTTTCATCATCTATTTTCATTTGGTTGTCAAGCTTTATCTTTAAGGCATATTACTTTGAAGCTAGGACCTGGGTTGCAAGCATACTGTTATGAATTTCCTTAATGATAAGCAGAAGTACCAGAAGACCCCGTCCTGTGTCAGACAAGCTCTTCAAATGAGTGACAGTAAAACAACAACAAAAAAACAACACTGAAGATTACACCTCCAGGTTATTCACAAGAATGGAGCGAAAGCCCAAAGCCAGGTCTCTGGCTGTAAGTGACACCTACCCTGTGTTGCACTCTCAGGGACACAGCATAGCCTGCATTACGAAAGAGGTCTACAGCATCCTGGTGCAGCAGGTTCTTTAGGTCTTGGCCATTTACCTAACAAAACAGCAAGAAAGAATAGTAAGAATGGCATAATTCAACCATTTATTTTCATGAGTCCAAATTTTTAAAAGCAAACTCTTTCAGAGCAAATTCCAAGGGTGAGGAGCATGGGCAAAGTCACTCAGAACTTTTTTCATTTTCAAAGCCATGTCTTCCTAGAAGTGACATTCCACAGGCCATCTGAAAAGAACCTAGGTAAAAATAAAACAAAATGTGGTCTCTCCTTTCTCTTACCTCCTATGCCTGTCTCATTTTGACACTTGGGATTCTGTTACTATATTTGTATGTCTTCCATGAGCATTATTAGCTTGCTTCCCTACAGCTAACATGATCTTCCAGGTCCTATAAGTTAGGAACCCCATTTTATAAGTGATAAAACTGAAGTATAGAGAGGCTGTGCAACTTGTCCAGAGGCACATAGAATGGAAGTAGCAAAGCCAGAATTCAAACTTAAGCAGCTTGGCCCCAAAGCCTTCACTTTAAAACATTAACCTATACAAATTTACGTTGTAAGCAACGATTTTATTTCAGCCACATATCATTATCTATCACATTTATGCTGTAAATTATTGGCAGTTTTGTTATTTTTTTTTTTTTTTTGAGGCAGAGTCTCGCTTTTTGTTGCCCGGGCTAGAGTGAGTGCCGTGGCGTCAGCCTAGCTCACA